GCCCTGAGGCCTGGAGTTCCCCACCCTTCATCCAAACTCTTAAAAAATATACAAAAAAACCCCAAAACACAAATATTCAGGGAAAGCCCGAGCAGCTCAGCGTCGTTGTCTACCTGGTAAGCCATGGGGGACGGCGTAGGGTGGTAGCTGGCTGGTGAGTGCGTATTCTGGTAGCCGACAGGTGAGGGCGCCACCTGGTGGTAGCTCTGAGGGCTGGGGCTGGGCTGGTAGGAGCCCTGAGGGGACGGGGCCGCATATGGAGAATACTGCTCTGTGTTATACCTGCACACAGACACACAAATATAAAAAGCGACACTCAGATTATTAGCTGGTGGATTAATGACTGAGTGTTGCAACTATTAAAAGTTAGTATCAGAGATCTGATTGGTTGGATCTCCAGGTCTTAAGCTGAGTATCATATTCACGGAGCTCCACAGGGATCCACACTTGGCCCCCTCGTTTTCATCCTGCTGAATTTGAACATTTAGTTCTAATGCAGTAAAAACGAAAACATCCATTTCACTACTTCGTATTCCGGCACAGCGTCAGCTCCTTTTATAAACTGAGGTGAGGGCGAGGGTGTGTTTCTGTGCCTTATACTCACATCGCGGGCGTGCCAGGTGTCTGAGGGTTGTACTGAGGGTTGACCTGTGGCGAGGGGACCTCGGGGTAACCCGGGGTCTGAGGGTTGGGGGTCGTCCCGTAGGCCTGAGGGGACGGAGAGGGTTCGTCATCGTAGCCGAAGTCGTAGTCTTCCTCATTCCTGAGAAGAAATAAATCACGTGTTAGACAGAAAGAAGAAAAAGAAGAAGAGGGGAACGCTGTGTTTACCGGTCACTGCGTCACCTGGACGGCGTGTTGGGGTTGCTGGGATCCCAAGCTCCGCTCTGACCTGGAGTCCTGCTCCCATCATGCAGTGGGGTCTGAGATCCGTAGTGGGGCGTACGGCTTCCTGTTAGGAGGCAAAACATCCTCTGAGTTAGAGGCGAGAGCACCGTGCTGCTCACAGGTCACCTCTATGCTGATGACACAAACACACGCCCACTCTATGGTCCAGCGTCAGCTCGCCTTGTTTTAACGGGCACGTCGCATTTGGACGTAAGACGTAGAAGTCGAAGCAACTTTATACGAGCACCAACAGTCAGCTGCATTTAGCTTCAGACCCTGACGAGTTAAACGACCACCACCACCAGTTCAAACTGGAGGAGGTTACTGGTTAAGCTTCAACTAAAGGCCGACCTCAGTTTAATCAGAGGCTCAGAGAAAAGTGAGGCGCTACTTTAAAAACAATGAACTCATCCATTAATCATCAATATATCCACTGATGAACCAACAGCTCCGCCCACTGCTGT